GAAAGAGAAAGACAAGTACCATATGCTAACACATATATATGGAATCTAAGGAAAAAAATGTCATGAAGAACCTAGGGGTAAGACAGGAATAAAAACACAGACCTACTAGAGAATGGACTTGAGGATATGGGGAGGGGGAAGGGTGAGCTGTGACAAAGCGAGAGAGAGGCATGGACATATATCCACTACCAAACGTAAGGTAGATAGCTAGTGGGAAGCAGCCGCATAGCACAGGGAGATCAGCTTGGTGCTTTGTGACCACCTAGAGGGGTAGGATAAGGAGGGTCGGAGGGAGGGAGATGCAAGAGGGAAGAGATATGGGAACATAAGTATATGTATAACTGATTCACTTTGTTATAAAGCAGAAACTAACACACCATTGTAAAGCAATTATACTCCAATAAAGATGTAAAAAAAAAAAACATACTTAGTTAATAATTGACAAATATTTGTAAGAAAAAGATTTAGATGCTCTTGATATATTCTATATTCTTAATTCAATAAAACATATAAACATATATAAATTCAGTATTGTTAGAGCAGTTACAAATGTGTATAGAAACATAACTTAAGCTAATAAGTAACACAATCACTGGTTGTCACAAGATTCCAAAAATATCAATATGAGTAAAATATTCAAAACAGATGAGTCACATCACACTTTTTGGTGATATAAATAAGCTTAGAAATATATTGGAATATGCTTTCTGATTTCTTCACACTCTTTTTTTTAGAAAAATAATCATGAATATACACAAAGATTATTTGCAAAGATGTTCATCACAGCATTGTTTATAACTGATTAAAATGATAGTATATTCACATAATAAAATACTATGCAGCCATTAATATAATTATGAAGAGGACTATTTTCTAAAGTATGTTCTGCAGAATAGAAATTCCATGAGATATTAATAGGTATTGGATGAAAAAAAAGGACTCTGTGGTCAAATCAATTTATAAAAAATGAGGATAAACCATATTAAACAGGTGTTTTAACTGCAGTTCTTCCTAGGCTAATCTGCTTTAAGGTGCTCTAACAAGGGGAGAGTGTATGAATTATCTCTCAAAGTTATCTATCCACAGAACACTTATATTTTCATAGGGTATTTGTGTTCCAAAGACAATATCTAGAAAATGCTATGGTAGCATACTACTTAATGACAGGGAAAATGTTCACAATACATTATTACGTTCTCAAAAAGTTACAAAACAATGTTTGACATATATGTTTCTACATGCATATATGCCAAGCAGGTCTAGGATTTCCACTGAATGTGAAAGAATTCTATCAAAAGGCATGAAAAATGATATTGTAAGGGTCCTTCAATAATCAAAACTGCCATCATATGCTATCAGATTTTGGCTCACTAGATTTCTGAACCCACAGAACAGACTGGCTTTCATGTACTCACATTATTATTATAAATCTGTCTAGTCCTGGTCCCAGTAGGAAGGAGAGATATAGCCAAAGTTACCTAAAAACCTTTCAGATTACCTTCATCTCAAGTTTTAAGTAGATCTTTAAATGTATTAGTTTTAAAGGCAATTAATACAGTCGAATTAATATATTTAAATAACTTTGAGCTACTTAGCAAGAAACTTCCTGATGTTGGCCTAATAATTAAAAACACTTTACTGACTTCAAAAACCTAGAAGACAATTTTCCTTTAAGGCTCCATTTAGTCCCAACCACAATGTAACTTTTATTAATGGAAGCTACATAGCAACAATGGTATGAGAGCAAATAAAACCAAAAGGCTCCACTGTTGCCTGAAGCACCTCAATTAATACGCCACAAAAGTTCCTACTACAAATTTAAAGAGATGGCTTTGTGAATTTTATGACAAGTTCACATTTATCCCCATTGATGGGGATAAAGTCTTTTCCAGACTACCCACTGAAAACTCAGGGCTGTGAATTTACTTTAACCAACTTTGTACTGGAGTCATCTCTACCAGTTATTCCTCATTAAGATTCCTTTTACATGGTTGGGGGAAAAAGTCAATGATTCATTCAATAATCACCAACTTCCTGCTGACTTTAAATCACGATTAGCTAAACCCTCTCCATCCAGCAACCCACAGCCATCTATTCTCTTCCATTACAATGAGAGTTGCAGCTGATTTTTTCCAGCTTTTACTTTGTAATATTCCAATTCCATTTACTACTAAATTTTTTCTCACTAACAATATTCTAAATAAATAGCTCCATTCCACATGAGGCGTAATTTAAAGATATACTTTGCGTGTCATCTTACCACTCTGCTAGTGAACCCTGAGCACATGGAAGGTTATAAAGACAGTCCTTAACTTGGTTAAGGTTAGGATTTTTGGTTAAATGGTTAAATGCAGGATTTTTCAACTTTACGATGGTACAAAAGCTATATGCATTCAGTAAAAACTGTACTTCGACTTTTGAATTCTCATCTTTTCCCAGGCTAGTGATATGTGGTCGATACCCTGTGTGATGCCCAGCAGAGCCACAGCCCCCAGTCACTCACACGATCACAAGGGTTAACAACCAATACACTTAGAAACATTCTGTATCCATACAACCATTCTGTTTTTCACTTCCACACACTACAGAATTCAATAAACTACATAAGATATTCAATACTTTATTATAAAATACGCTTTGTGTTAGATGATTTTGCCCAGTGGTAGTTCTAAGCACAGTTAAGGTAGGCTAGACTAAGCTATGATGATCAGTAGGTTAGGTGTATTAAATGAATTTTTGACAGGATATTTTCAACTTATGTATTTCAACATAACCATACTGTAAGTCAAGGAAGCTCTGTACGTTAATGATTCAGTACAAGGTAACTGTAATAATTCATATAGAAAAGCTGAAGATAGAAACTCCAGGGAATGAAATTATATCATGTACGTATTATATATTATATAATACAATCTGCTTTTTAAATACCAACACCTCTAAAGATAGAAAGCTTAAAAAACTCACTTGCCTGACTGGCCACAAGGGATAAGAAAATTCTTTCCTTTGGTAACAGAACACAACCTGCAAGGAAATTCTGCTTCTTCTTTTATAATATAGAAGTTATAGTGTAGTTCCCACTCACCCTTAGTCAAAGAATTTTCTCTTTATTATTTAAAGTCAGAAATAGGAGGTTATTTTCTAAACATATCACTTTGAAAAAGCTATTATCATTAATCATCAAAAGCCCAGTACAAAATCCTAAAGTGTATGTTTATCCCTGACCCGCTACAGGACCTCCACGGGACCTGTTCTATTTCTTCCTATAAAATATTTCTAATCTCTATCTTCCCCACTTTACTTCCAGCATTACTTGGGTCTCAATCAGAGAAGGAAAGAAAATGCAAATATCTGACTGAAATAACTGCTCGCTCTTGCAGAGCTAATTCTAGTTAGTTCATTATTCATTTGTCCACCAATAAACCTTGAGTGAATGCTTATCAGAGGCACAGAGCTGTCCCAAGTGCTGAGGAACAATTAAAGGAACACAAAAGATATGACCTCTCCTCTCAAGAAGCTTACAAACAACCTATTTGGGCATAAAGAAAAAAAAAAAGACAAAATAAATAGAAAACAACTGTAAAATGATATAAGAACAAAAATTCAATATACTGGCAGCACTGAGGAAGGAAGGAAGGAAGGAAGGAAGGAAGAAGGAAGGGAGGGAGGGAGGGAGGGAGGAAGGCAGGAAGGAAGGGAGGAAGGAAGGAAATATTTAGTGCTAAATCCAGATTCAACTAAATTTAGTGGGTGCCTATTTCATGCCAGGAACTATAATTAGGGTTTTCACTAATAATTCATCCTAAAATAATAGTAGAGCAAAAGCATGGAATCTTGAAAGAAGTTGAGTAAAGGGGATGATAAAAAGATCTTACTATAAAAGTAGTAATAGAGTTAGACAAGTGTTAATCTCACCCTATTACATTTTAGCAGTTAATATCTATGGTTGTATGAGTATAATAAAAGAGTATAAAAAGCAAATCACTGAACATTTTTCTCTTTTTAAAAGTCTGATTGGGAAAAAAAAATTATAATTACGTGTGGTGATGGATGTTAAGTAAACTTATTGTGGTAATCATTTCACTATATATATATATATATATATATATGCACACACACACCAAATCATTATGTTATACACCTAAAACGAATACAGTGTTATACATCAATTACATCTCAATTAAAAAAAGATATTGTTGCTGTTTGAACTGTGTCGCTCCCAAATTCTTGTATTAAAGTCCTAACACCTAATACCTCAAAATGTGACCTTACTTGGGAATAGGGTCATTGCAGATGTAATTAGTTAAGATGAGGTCATTAGGGTAAGGCCTTTACCCAGTATGATTGGTGTCCTTATTAAAAGAGGAAATCTGGACACTGACATGGACACAGAGAAAAAAACAGTTCTAAATGGGGAAATTCATTGGAGAAAAACCAAAAAAAGTAGCTAAAATAAGGTCTATGGATTATTTGTAGATGTCCTTATTACTACAGACAAATAAAAAGTAGAAATACATTGCTCTACGGCTCTCTCAAGTCTCACACATTTAGCTTACATCTAAGGTGGCTAAACTAGATGCTTTTAATTACAAAATTCATATATTATCATTTATTAATCTATGTCTTACTTCCCAAGCTCCAAGAAGCTGTATCTTATTTAACTGTGCATTGCCAACAACACTTGGAAAAGTGTTGTAGTGGAACAGCAGTGCACTCTGAAGTAAGAGGATTCAAGTCTCAGCTCTGCAAGTTTATCCTAGCTATTTCACCTTGGACAAATTTATAAAACTCTAAGCTTCAGTATCTTTGTCTAATAAAACTTTCTAGTTCTTGTGAGGAGTAAAGGATATGTAATTGAAAATACTTAGCATAGAACATAGCAGATAACCAGTGCTAAAGATATATGAGTTCCTTTTATTGTTTGCATACTGCATACAATAGAATGCGATTATGAGGTTGGAGTTTCAGTCATTTAGAGAATTTTCTGATAGTTATACACTTACCTTGGTTTTCAGGTGGTCTTAGATTTGCTAAAGCAACAATCTGATGCCCAGCAGCAATGCACTGCATCATATTATAACAGCTGTCCTTCCCACCACTAAAAAATAAAGAAAGAAATAGATGAGACAAATATCAGGTTACTGACCATTATCTGACATAGACTCATTATAGAAATAGAACACATTTTTTCAGCTTTTCAGAATATTTGAGGGACTATTTTACATTAGTTTGCAAAAAACACATGTAATTTCCATAGCATACACAACTGATCAAACGAATCTGATTATCTTAGACTGCTACTCACAAGGGCTTATGAAATTATATGCCATTATAACAAAGACTATGCTAAACAAAAAATGGCAACTCTTTGGTTTGTGATAGTGGCTTTGCTTAATATAAAGTGTTTTGCAAATAAAATATGATTTAATTTTACATTTCAGTTAAACTATTATATATACTTCTCAGATGAAATTTTCTATGAGAAAGCAGAAAAAAACATGTTCTGTTCCACTTTAAGAACTCTAACAACGGTCACCATCACCAATTAAAGGATCAAATTAAAGATCTGAGATCCTATCAAATGACAAAGTTTGATGTACTTGGTGGGTTCAAATTCTGTAGAGGTTGAAAGCAAAATGCTGAATTACACTGATAAAGTTAAACAGCAGTACTATCAGTACTTCATCTTTCAGCCATCACTACATATGATGGCAGGACAAGGCCTGAGTCATAAATCTAATAAACAGATTTACAGGAAATTCTAAATTCTGGTACCAAATCTACCTACCTAGCAAATAACTTATTCAAGACCAATAGTCATTCATCTATAACAAGGTTGAATGGCAACCTTTATAATATTTCAGGTTAGTACTCTCTTGCATGTTTCTTCCTTTCTTTTATCTTTGTCTCTCTTCGTTTTATTCCTGTTTCCCTTCATTCTAATCTCTGCTAAGATCTGCAAATGTACCCCCAGATAATGTTTAGACCTATTTATAAGCAAAGAAACCAAGAGACTGATTATCCTAGAAGTTGGACCTTTTGCCTTTTATTTTAGTTCCCAGCATTTGTCAGCCTCTACCATATTCTGATCAGTAACAACTGTCATTCCAGAACTTCTCAAGGGGAGAGAGATTGCAAGGGGCAAAGTGAAGTTACACATCATGCTCTCTCCCCTCAGCTTCTGATGTTTCCCCCAAGTACCTTTTTCACAACTTCTCCTATTGAACCTGTTTTATTTCCCCAGGACAAGATGATCTAATTCTTGAAAATATTTAGAAGATTAAAGGGTATATATCCACAATCAGAACTTGTCCTTTTATTTTAAAATATGCTAAGATTTCAAATATGATTTTAAAATAGTATTTCCCAAATTGTGTTCTGTGGAACACTAGTGTCCGACAAATACTCTAACAACAAAAGGTTTCAAAGGTCAAATTAAGTTTGGAAAATGCTGAGTACCTTACTCACTTCTTAGAACATCACAAAGTACATCAGCATATGTTAGGGAAGACATCCTTCACAAGATCAGAATTTCAGTTCCCAATTCTGGAACACCAAACTAAGTTACTCAATGTGCTTGGGTTCACATGCTTCATTATAAAATTAGAGAATGGTCTAACTAATCCTCAAGGTGTCATTCAACTGTAAAATTCAATGATGCAATCTTTTGTGTATTAGGAAAATATGCTCTTCATGGTCCAAAGATAATGTAAGAATCTTGGTTTCACTTATTCCCTAGAACACACACACATATCCCATCTCTTAGTGCACACACTAAATATATTTATTGCAAGCAGATTCACTGTATTAAGTTTAAAACCAAATACATTCAAGTGTATATGCATACAAATTATATATGTATTATGTATGCATTCATATTTGTATGTACATATTATGTTCTGTACTCCTACTTATGTCTTTCAACATTTATACAGATCTTACATTTTAGCAACGATTTTCCAACATTGCCTTTTTTAAAAGTAATTTGCTTTTTTATTATAAAAGTAACATGTGCACATTACAGAATATCTAGTGTAATGGATTATACCAATCTTCTCTCTTTCCCTTCAACATTTCTGAGACTTTAGTTAAGTGTCTCACTTTAATGGTTAAACTTTGGTAAACTGCATGTGGATATGAATTACTCATTTCTTGGACTGCTTTTTGTTCTTACTTATCTAGATCAAATGAAGTCCATAATGTTGGAAGCTTAATCACATTGTTTATAGAAGAAATTCATTGGAAAAAAAAATTATTTTGGCATTATAGTCCAGTATCCTAACAATGGCATTGAAGTAAAAGATGTTATATCGAGTCCTTAATAGGTCATACTATTGTCAGCCAGTATTAATTTCGTAGGTCACTGAACAAAAACTTTCATGAAATCGTCAATGGGCTTCGCATGGTTGCCCTCTATTCATCTCACTCTATACAGATCCAAAACTCATCAAACAAATGTTCAAGTAGTCTAAACTCCCTTTTGCATTTTGTTGTTTTTTCCCTTTTGCTTCAGTTTACAGATTGAGTATGGAGACATTTAAGCTGACCAATCTTTGGTCGTCATAGGACTTAATTTAGACACCTAAATACATGATGGGTTATTAGATTTCAAACTCCTTTTGGAATATGGAGTATGTTACCGTAAGGTCACTTTTCCAAAAGCAATCATGAGTGTTCAAAGCAATGGCAACTGGATCTAAGATAAAACAGGATAATTCCATCTCTATCCTTGAGCACCAAAGTAAAACACATCTATGCCATAAACAGTCCAGTCACTAATGGGACGGCAGGCGAGGGAGAGGTGGTCTTTGCGGGAGGGGGCGGGGCTGGTAACAACGTAGGGAACCAGGCAGGGCCGGAGGACCGGCAGAAAGACTGAAGGGAACTACAAAAGAGGATGAAAAATGAGAGAAAAGGGTGGGAGAGACTCAGTAAGTGGCGTCAAGCAGTGCCCCTCAAACTTCACAGCCCATTACAGTTTTTGAGAATCCGACCCCGAGTCGCGTCTGAGTAATTTAAACAGCCCTCGGGCGGTGAGACCCAGACATCAGTAGTTTTAAAGTGAAACCAATCTGAACCCAAGTTTGGGGCCCAGAAGACCAGGGAGGAGGTGACGGAGAGAAAGGAGGAGCGCCAGCCCGGGACCGGGGACCAGCCAGGCCGGGTAGTAGCCCGAAGGCTCCGCCTCTTCCTGCTACCGGGAGGAGCCGCCGAGCCCCCGATACACGGCTTCTGCGGGGACACCGTCAGTTCGGCGGCGGCGGCAGCTCCTGCTACTCAGCAGAAAGGGACTGGAGGCAGGAAGGGAGGAGGAAGGCGGCACCGGGGCGGTTACCTGATCAGAGCCGCGACCCTCATGCTGGGCGCAGTGCGCATGCGTGCGGCGGGCGCGGGCCGACGCCTCCGTGACGTGCGCAGGTCCTCGCCCGGGTGTTCGTTCCGCCGCCTGTCAGGGGACCGGTGCTGCGGCCCCTGCGGCCGCCCACGGGGCACCTGGACGCGGAGTACGCGCCACCTTGGCGCCTAGTCCCTGAGGCACGGAGGTCCCGGCTCGGAAAAGAACGCTGTTTAGGCGCGGCCTAACCACCTAAGTGAGGGCACTGAAGCTGCCTGGGGAAGGGCAAGGCCCGCGTCGCCGCGCTCGGGCTCGGAGCCCTGGATTTGTTTGGGTAGGAGAATGTTCAAAGTCCTTTATGCCGCCCATTGAAACACTTGTGGACATGCAAAGGGAAAACAAGTTGGTCTTTATTTCCTCAGCCAGCCACCCACCCCTTCCCCAGAAAGAGCTGCACCCTTTAGTTTTTTAGCTTTTGTCTCCTCAGTGCTTCCAACTTACCTCTGGGGCCACTCCTAGGACTGCTAGGCTCCCTGTGGTTTGGGCCCTTTGTGTAATAAAGAAGCTTAGAAGCTGATTAAGGCTCATCACCAAAGAGCAGTGTCCTTGCAGAAAGAAAATCTAATTTCTAAATTTATTCACCAAGTATTTATTGAGTGCCTTTTATTTACCTGGCGCTGTTTTAGGCTCTTGGGATACGTCCGTGAATAAAACAATCACCTCCTGTGGGAGATTGCCGGGTGTGCTTTGCAAGGATAGAGCGGCAAAATCAAACAAAAAAACCCACCAATCACCTCCCTCCTGGAGTTTACATGGGGGTGGGGAAAGCAGACAGTATACTGCCAAAAGGTTCCATAGCATGTTGAAACATGTTAAGTGCTATGAAAAAGAATAGAGCTTGAGAGGAATCAGGAAGGAGGTTGTTGGCCTGTTGGGAACAGGCCCAACTGGTCTGCGGCCTTTTGGGAACTGGGCTGTACAGCGGGAGGTGAGCAGTGGGTGGGAGAGCCAGCCAGCAGAGCAAAGCTCCATCTGCCACTCCCCTGTTGCTCCCATTACCGCCTGAGCCATCCCCCCACCCCCAATCCGTGGAAAAATTGTCTTCCACAAAAACCAGTCCCTGGTGCCAAAAAGGTTGGGGACCGCTGCTCTAGGCAGAAGAAAAAAACCAGAACCGAGACCCTAGATGCGTTATGTGTTTGTGGAAAAACAAGTTTGGCCAGTGTGGCTGACACCTCAGAGTAGTGGGAGATGAGGTTCCAGTGATGGAGGGAGGGAGATCATATAGGTGTTATTGATACCAACCATGGTTCTTGACCTTGCCCAATCAATAGAAGGTGACAAGAGGCCAGACAAGAAATTCAGGCAAGCAGGGAGGAGCAAAAACAGGTAATAGTTTCCCTTGATAACAAGTAACAGTTTCCCTTGCTCGCTCCCCGAGGGGGTGGGGGGCAACTGGTTCCTTATATGGGGTGAGGGTAGGGGGGTGTCCAGGGGTTGGCTCGGAGTGGTGGCTTAGGTGGTTTGCCCACCCCTTTGGTGGTGGTGCGTGCAGGAGGCATGCACAGCACCCTGCTTTTGCTCCTGACACCCTGTTTTTGCTCCCAGCTCTTTTTTTGGTCTTTTTGTATCTTGTTTTGTATAATTTGCCCCAACTGAGCATGCACACAGTTATTTTTAGTCCCTTATAGTTTCTTTGTATTTTGTTGCTCAAGGAGCTGTTTGTCCATGTGAAAGTACTGCAGCAAAGTGTACCACATCCCAGGTCCCAGGCTGTCTTATTATTACCAACCCTTTCAAGTTGGGCTCCAGCAAGGGTCCTCCTGCCTGGTTCGTTCAGAAGCAAAGCAAAGCTTTATTCTTTGGTCAAAGAACGGAGAGGTGTGAGTTCTCGCTCTAGAAGACAAGCTCTCCCCAACAGGCCATGGGCAGGGCAGCTTTATGAGGTTCTTGTCAATAGGGTGGGGCACAGTTGTGTTCCTGGGGGCACTTTAGACTTAAGTGTTGGGTGCAGCATTTCTGCACAGGGTATGTTGTCCCCATCTTGAATTGAGGTGTTGTGTGCTAGGGCTTTTGCCCACAGCCCAGGCAATTTGGGCCTGATGAGAGTCTAGTTGGGGAGATAAGACAAGTGCATGAAACAAATATTCACAATACAAGAGGGCATATTTTGAAAGTAACAAGTTATGTAATGCATATGGCAAGAGTTCCATGAGTTGAATCCACAGGAAAAATTCTAGAAAAAAAAACAGGACTTGAATGATGGGCCGAAATGAACAGGAGGAATAGGTAGACCTTACAAACAAAGACAGATAAAGGAATTCAGAGCATGTCACTCCAAAAATGCCACTTTGGCATATTGATTGAGTTAAGGGCACTTGAGAAATAGCAGGTGCAATAAGGGCATTCTGAACTCTTTTTTATTTCTGAAAGCAGGAGATAAAAGCCCATTGTAAAAGGTGCCTTCTCTGTACTTAAGAGAAAAAAAGATATTCTCGTTGCCAGAGATGGGAAATGGGGAATCAAGGCCAAAAGAAATCTGTGCAAACAGAACTTGTCAAAAATATGGATTCTTATCTTCCTTTCGCTTCTCCATATAGTTTAGTTACTTTTCTACAATTACCTCTCTTGTTCAACCTACTATAAAAGCATGTAGGTTCTGCCATCTTTTGGGGGCTGGTGGGGAGGATCTTCATTCTGTTGTGAAGGCTCCCATGTCCGTGTAAGAAATTTTAGTAAAACTTGTATGTATTTTTTGCCAGTTAATCTGCCATAGGCGAGTTTAATTCTTAGCCAGAGAACCTAAGAGGGTAGAAGAGAATTTTTCCTCCCCTACAGGAATGAGTATGGTGTGTTCAGCAGTAGTGGGCAAACCTGCCTGATAAGTTGTAAGAGTATATAAGAGAGAAGGGAAAATAAGTTGGATGGATAAAATAATGCCAGATTATCCAGTGCCATGGAAAGCCAAAATGAGGAATTTCAACAACAGTATTTTTAAAGAAATGCTTTAATTTACTTTGAAACTAATATACTAATCCTGAATGTAGTAACATACTAATATTGAAACTTCACAAAGGACTTTTAAAAAGACTCACAAGTTAATAAGGAGAACTCATTTTTAAGTAGTCAATCCATTTGTTGATAAGTAATTTGCCCAAACTTCAAGAAAAGTTGGCTTAGCAGGACCCCTATATGCATAGCATTCTACATGGATAGTGTAAAGGTAGCTGCAGCCCAATCAATGTCAACAAGATAACAGATTTTATACCAGCATAGGCTAAAGTAATTCTTTTTATAATATATTGAAATGACTTGCCCAAGATTCGCCTTTCAAAGGCATTGTGAGCTCACTTCCTACAATCTCAAACTGTTATAAATGACTATGTATTCGTTTATAAAGCCAACAAAATAGGTGAATGGAAAATCAGCCTCAAAAAAATCTCAGTTCCTTGCCAGTTTACTTAGGGGAGACTCTTCATAGCCAAATAGTGTTGCTGGTAATAAAAAGTTGCAAGCTGTCACTGAATTCTGCTTCCTTGGCAGCACATCCTAAGGATGTACTGATTGATAAAGATTTAGATAATCAAATCAAAAACCCTATAGGTAGATAGTCCTCAGAGTTCTTGAGAGGATTTATCAATACAACTCAAGCCAGTGCATCTCTCTGAAGTCATGCCATACAGGGAATCATTGGAAGGTTTCCTGGTGAGGATTTAGGAAAAAAGGAATTAAGTGATTATTTGGAAGATTTAAGGGCATCGTTACATGAGTGTCTGATGCATTTATATTAATAATGACAACTTATACGGGCCAGGCACTCTCCTAAGTGTTTTAGGTGTAGTGATGTAACTATCGCAGCAAATATATGAAGTAGGATACATTGTTATTCCCATTTGCAGATGAGAAAACTGAGCACAAAGAAGTTAAATAAGCTGCCTGTTTTCGTCAGTTTGGACTGCTTTAACAAAATACCGTAGTGTAGGTGGCTTAAATAACAGACTTTCTTACAGTTCTGGAGGCTGGGAAGTCTGAGACAGAATGTCAGCATGGTCTGGTTCTGATGAGAGCTCTCTTCCTGGTCTGTGGATGGATGTACCTTCACGTGGTGGAGAGAGCATTTTCTTATAAGAGCACCAATCCCATTCACGGGGGTCCAATGTCATGACTTAATTACCTCCAAAAGACCCCACCTCCAAACAACGTCATATTGGGGATTAGAGCTTTAACATACGAATTTGGGAGTAACTCAAATATTCAGTCTGCAGCACTGCCTTGAATCCTAGACCTAATAAGTGGCAAAATCAAGATTCAAACCCAGGCAGCCTAGCTCTAAAGTCTATGCTCTTAACCACTGTACTATATCTGCAACTGAAAAGGCCAGCTTGTTATTTTGGCAAATATATACTATTTCCAAAATATATTTGGAAGGACATTGCCATCATTCACTTCCTGAATTTCCTTTTTCTATGCTTCCAAGCTGACCAATACTTTTTCTGAAAGACACAATTTTTTTTTTTAATTGGCGTATAGTTGCTTTACAATGTTGTGTTAGTTTCTGCCGTACAGGAAAGTGAATCAGCTTTATGCATACATACATCCCCTCTTTTTTGGATTTCCTTCCCATTTCGGTTACCACAGAGCATTGAGTAGAGTTCCCTGTGCTATACAGTCAGTTCTCATTAGTTATCTATTTTATACATAATGTATATATGTCAATCCCAATCTCCCAATCCATCCCACCTCCTCCCTTCCCTCCTTGGTATTCATACATTTGTTCTCTATGTCTGTGTCTCTATTTCTGCTTTGCAAATAAGTTCATCTATACCACTTTTATAGATTCCATATATATGCATTAATATATGATATTTGTTTTTCTCTTTCTGACTTACTTCACTCTGTATGACAGTCTCTAGGTCCATCCACGTCTCTGCAAATGGCACAATTTTGTTCCTTTCCATTGCATATATGTACTACATCTTCTTCATCCATTCCTCTGTTGATGGACACTTAGGTTGTTTCCATCTCTGGGCTGTTGTAAATAGAGCTGCAATGAATATTTTGGTACATGACTCTTTTTGAATTATAGTTTTCTCACGGTATATGCCCAGTAGTGGGATTGCTGGGTCGTATGGTAGTTCTATTTGTAGTTTTTTAAGGAACCTCCATACTGTTCTCCACAGTGGCTGTGGAGAACACACAATTTACATTCCTACCAACAGTGCAAGAGGGTACCCTTTTTTCCACACCCTCTCCAGCATTTATTGTTTCTAGATTTTTTGATGATGGCCATTCTGACTGGTGTGAGATGATATCTCATTGTAGTTTTGATTTGCA